TAGTGGACCTGACTCCTTTTTTTGGGTTGTTTTTTTTTTTCCCTCAGTAGAGACAATGTTTCACTGTCACCCAGGCTCAAACTCCTGAGCGCAAGCCTGGAGTTCAGTGCCTGCCTCGGCCTCCCAAAGTTCTGGGATTACAGGCGTGAGCCACCACGCCCACAGGACTTGACTCTAATTGTTTTCATTCTCAACCAGCTAAATGATCGTGAACAAACCATTATCCCTTTCTTTTTTCTTTTCTTTATTTATTTATTTTGAGTCTTGCTTTGTCAGCAGGCTGGAGCGCAGTGGTGGGATCTCAGCTCACTGTAACCTCTACCTCCCAGGTTCAAGCAATTCCCCTGCCTCGGGCTTCCGAGTAACTGGGTCTACAGGTGTGCACCACCACACCTGGCTAATTTTTTTTTTGTATTTTAGTAGAGATGGAGTTTCACCATTTGGCCAGGATGGTCTCAATCTCCTGACCTTATGATCCGCCCACCTCGGCCTCCCAAAGTGCTGGGATTACCGGCGTGAGCCACCGCTCCTGGTCGCCATTATCTCTTTCTTGGCCAGCCTCTGAATCTGTGCAATGAACACTTTGCACTGTCTTTTATTTTGTATAATTCTGGATGAAACGAATATCTAAAGATTTCCAAATAAATTGCTGCAGGGTCAGGATTTATCCCAATGCTCAGCAGAGAGGCAGCGGGGCTTGGTTGAAACAGCCTGGACTTGGACTCTCAGGGCTTGAGTCAAAGGACTGGCCCCTGACTTGTGGGCTGGGCGCATGTGTGGCTTGGGGGGACATCCCCTTCCGTCTTTGGGCTTTTTTTCTCTTTATCTGTGAAATTGGAGCAGCTCCCCAGGAAGCCAGTCAAGGTTGAAGTTATGCATGTTCTTTCCCCAGGAAGTCTCCACTTCCCAAGCATGCTTGGCATCCACTGTCATCCCAGCAGATGGCAAGGAGGTGGGAGGAGCCTTTGCCTTGGACAAAGAGGCTCGTCATCCCTCTTTGGTTGTTTCTGATGCCTAATGGCCTCTGGTTTAAAAACCCCTTTCCCTGAAGCCACATTAGTTGGTAATCAATATGGAAAACCACAAGTGAACTGCACTCAAGAAAGTAAAATCCCCTTGGTTCCTTCTTGAGAGGAAGAAAAACATTCAATACTCACTTACAGAACCCCATTAATAGCAAATAATTCCTCAGAACAACGCTTTGAGGTAGGTTGTATTATCCCCACTCTGCAGAAGAGGAAATAAGAACACCTGTTATGTACTAAGCATACACTGTATGCTAAGCGCTGTTCTAATTACTTGCCATGGAATGTCGCGCTTATTCCACAGAACAATCCTCTTCCAAGGGAGCTTATTTTGTGTGGCTGGGAGGACAGGGCAGGGGTAGCGTTTGAGAAGTGGACTGTGGCCAACCACACAGGGCCTCACAGGCCCATGAAGGAGTTGGGACTTTATTCTGAGACCATGCAAAGTCTTGAAGAGTTTTAAGTAGGGGGTGACCGGATCTGATTTGTTAGATGTGTGTTTTGCAGAGATTAGCTACATGAAAGGGCAATGCGGAAAGTGAATTACAGACGACAAGGGTGGATGAGAAGAGAGCTGAGGCTTAAAGCTATAATGGGGATTGGAGGAGGGTGGTGGTGGGGTGGAGGTGGGGAAAATGATGGATTTGAGGAGTAAGGAGTGCAATTGGCAGGGTGCATGATGGATCAACTTGTACGCAGGAGTGTGTTTTCCTTCCAACACCAAATTGTATTTCTTATTATATACTACAAGGAATAAGGGAGACATCAAGGTGGACTTCAGGACTAGCGTCCTCCCCTGGGCCCAGCCTCGAGCTAGTGGCCCTCCCAGCACCTGCCTGGCTACAAGGGTGTCCAGATGGGGACAGGGCTATCTTCCTCTTCTCCTTTCTTTCTGCAGGAGATTGTGACTGCTTTAAGCTGTGGCAAGAACATTGTGCCCGTCATTGATGGCTTCGAGTGGCCTGAGCCCCAGGTCCTGCCTGAGGACATGCAGGCTGTACTTACTTTCAACGGCATCAAGTGAGCCCCAGGGCCACGGGACCAGCTGGGTAGGGTACAAGTCACCATGACAGGCAGGATGTGGGCAAACAGCTGACTAGCAGCTCCCTCTCCCCAGCTTCTGACCCACGTGCTTCTGTGCCCACAGGTGGTCCCACGAATACCAGGAAGCCACCATTGAGAAGATCATCCGCTTCTTGCAGGGCCGCTCATCCCGGGACTCATCTGCAGGCTCTGACACCAGTTTGGAGGGTGCTGCACCCATGGGTCCGACTTAACCAGTCCCCAGTTCCCCAGCCCTGCTGCGACTTCCATTTCCATTATCCTTTCTGAAGGAAACCGGCCTCCCTGGGCTGAGACAACCTGTGCTCTTCTCAGGAAATGGCTCTCCCTGTCCCCCACCCTCATGGCCCACCTCCAACCCACTTTCCTCAGTATCTGGAAAGGGAGGGGAAGTCAGGTTTGGGTGGGGGCTGGTTAGAACTCCCCTAGGCCCTGCCAGCGGGTTGTCTGTTTTGTTGTCTGTCTCAGTCATGGGGAGGATCCCTGCTCAGTTCTGGAGACACTGGAATTGGGGTGGGGGTGGTTCCTGCATTCCCTTCTCCTGCTCAGATAGCCAACTTGAGGAGGATGAAGACAGGCAGCTCAGACAGGAATCAGGGCGATGCCCTGGTGGGCCTTGGCACTGTATTCTGAGCAAGAGTCTGGGTCCAGGAGCCAGCCAGGGATGAGTGCCTTCATGGCTCTCCACCTAGACTGTGCCTGGCCCCTGTGCTTACAACTTCCTGCTGCTGCGTGGCCTTGCCATGTAATCACTCAGTGCCCTTAGCCAGCCTGACGAGGTCCCAGATCCCCTACAGCTTCCTTTGGTGTGGCGTCTTTTGCCACATCCAGGGCCAGGGGTTGAGGCAAGCCAGCCCTCCCTCTGACTTTGCTGCAGCCAGCTTTGCTGCACTTGCTGGTGCACAGGAGCCTCCTGTTTGGGCCTGGGTCTGGGCGTGGGGAGGCAGTGCCTCAAAGATCATCCTACCCCGTGCCTTGGTGCTGTGCCTCAGGCTCCTGCCTGGTTGGGCCCAGGGGCCTTCCCCAGCCCCTCAGCCAACCAGGGCTACCTACTGCTTGCTCAGGGAGGCAGCCCCCATGGCAGCAGAAGTAGCCTCAATAGAACCTGCAGCTCTGTGGAAAGAGGCAAGATCCTAAAAAGGGAAAGCATTGTTACCTTTAAAGTCCTAATCACCTGGAAATGTTAAAATCAGATCTGGGGTGGGGCCTGAGACTCTGCATTTCTTAGATTCCCAGGTGAGCTGGTGCTGGTGGTTAAGGGCAGGAAATCTCTGAAGCATAAAGCCCTCACAAATCTTTGCCATTTCCCAAACACTCCACTCCATGGTCTCTAGTCATCAGAGCAACCCTACCTGGTATTATCATCCCCATTTTACAGATAAGGACACTGAGGCTCAGAAAGATTGAAGATATGCCCAGTTTCCTGTCATTGGTGGCAGGCCCAGATCCAGACCCAGGCCTCCTGGCACCCGGTCCGCTGGCAGTGGAATTGCTCTCCTGAGAATCATCATGAGGCTGGGCTATTGCTTCCCCCTTACCCTAAGGAAGTTGGCAGTGGGGGACAGGATTTTGCAACAAAAAGCGGACCCAGAAGCCATACAGAAATAACTAAGCAGGAATGTCCTCTTGCGCCCTCCTCTACTCGGTTCAGAGGACAAGAAAGTACCCTCCAATAAACCCATGCTCCAGGCCGTGGGGTCTGCTGAGAGCTCTTCCCTCCTGAGGGCCGGGTGTTCACACCTCAAGGCTGGCTGCACCCCCAGCCCCACTCCTGGCTGTGCTAGGTGACGCCTCGCTCTCGGTCACATCATCAGAAAGTCAAAGGTCTCACTCCAGGTTTGGGGCTCCTTCCTTCTACTCCCCTCCCTGCCTGGGTCTGTCTTGGCCAGTCTTGACACTTTGGTTTTGACCCCACCTGGTCCTCCTTTCCTCATGTAGCACAAACGCTTGCCAGTGCCAGGGCATGGACACAACAAGCAGGGCAGACCGGACACTGCCCTCACAGGACAGAGTCAATAAAATATTGTCTGAGTGTGTCCAGGGGATAATTTCCGGCTCTTCATCTCCAGTCAGTCCCACCCCGTCCTGAGGTCCCAATGGACAGTTTTCAGAGAGGTTTCCTGCATTTTTTCTGTTTAGTGTATCCTCCACTGCTGTCCACCGTCTTGTGTGGCCTTCTGGTTGACCTCTGACTGACCTTCTGTCTCTGGGGAATCAGAGTCCAGCATCTGGCCCCAGCAGGAACGGCTCAAGTCGTGAGCCTCCCCTAAGCCACGGCCAGTGTGTTCAAAGGTGACTGCCAACCTTGCCAGGACAAACACAGCTCAGATCACTAGGGCAGGCACCCCTAGGCCTGGCCCCTCCTGAGATAGAGTACTCAGAAGTGGCCTTTCCTCCAAAGCCTGCTTGGACACATGTCTGTAGGGCTAGAGTGTTCTGCTTGGCTGGGTTGCAGCTGCTACCCCTCGGTAGCAGCTTGGGGCTGAGTCAGCCAGACCCTCCCCTAACTTCTTCCCAGGGGCCAAGAACTGCTTAGGGACATTCAGAGGTCAAAAGTCTAGCCACGACTCATTCCTCCTTTCCCCAGTCCCACGAAGAGAGGTATCTTATTGTAGAATGCATGAGGAGGTGGGACGGATCTCAGAGCATCAGCTAAGTTTCCTGACGTGTCCAACCAAATGTGATCACCACAATTCAACAATTTGGGGCATCACTAATCTAGCCCTTCCTAGTGGGGCTTGCTCAAGGTTGCTCAGCAAGTCAGCAGAAGCCTTGGCTGGCCCCACTTGGTACAATCCACAGGGCAGCTCAGGGGCTCCTGTCCAGCCCAGCAACTTCTGTTGTCTGACCTATGGCAGGCAGACTGGGAGCAGGAAAACAGAGGGCCCCAAAGCCCGAGGCACTGAGAGGTTTGTTTCAGTTTGATGAAATTGATTTACAATGATTGGCACTCTTGAGCCCAGGGAGTGGGTAGGCCATAGCCAAGGATCGATGCCCCAACCACAGGGAAAGCAGCACTTTTCCTCTGAAGATCACCAAGCTCCTCTCGTCTCCCTCCCTCCTTCCCAAGGCTGGCACTAACCAGGTACCACAGTCATCATTAAGGAGTGACTGGTGGCTGCTGCACACGTTGGGAACCTGGTTGGGGCTGTGCAGTTTAGGCTGGAAGGAGAGATGCCAGCCCTCGTGCTGCCTCTGGTCCCTGAGGTGTCACCTCCATCAGGACCTCTCCTCTGCCCTGAGGAGTTGTAAGTGATGGATGGCAGAAAGGGAGAACTGACTCCTGTCCCAAATAGCTCCCCTGCCACCTGCCCTGCAGTGGGCCTGTCTGGATTATGATTCTAGATCCTAGTCAGAGGCTGGCTCAGCTGTGGATGGGGTGGCACCTTGGTCTTTCCTGACCACGTCGTCCACAGTGAGTGCTGCCCTTTGAAAGGAGCTGTGGCGCTGCTGTGGGCGGGGTTCCCAGCTGGAGACCTCCAGTTGGCTGGTGTTCGCTTTGCTCCTCTTGCCCTCTGTCTTCTGGTCCAGGCAGATCAGGGGCTCTGGGGAAACTGCTGGAACTCAGGGTGAGGACCAGCCTTTTCCAGCGTCCTGTGAGAAACCAGAGAGAGGGTTTGGATTTCACATGGGGAACCCTCAGTGCCTGTCTGGAGACGTGATGCAGGATTACTTGGATGGGCTGGTCCAGGTAGCTCTCCTGAAACTCCTCCTTCCCCAAGCTGACAGCTGGAGGACAATGTCCAGGGACATGGCTCTGGAAAATAACTTTTTTTTTTTTAAGAGACAGGGTCTTGCTCTGTTGTCCAGGCTGGAGGGCAGTGACATGATCATAGCTCACTGTACCCTTGAACTCCTGGGCTCAAGTGATCCTTCTGCCTCAGCCTCCTTAGTAACTGGGACTACAGGTGCATACCACCATACCTGACTAATCTTTTTAATTTTTCTTTTTTTTTTTTGAGACAGAGTCTCACCCTGTCACCCAGGCTGGAGTGCAGTGGGGTTCAAGGTTCAAGCGATTCTCCTGCCTCAGCTTCCCGAGTAGCTGTGACTACAGGTGCCTGCCACCACGCCAGCTAATTTTTTATATTTTTAGTAGAGACGGGGTGTCACTGTGTTAGCCAGGATGGTCTCAATCTCCTGACCTTGTGATCTGCCCACCTCAGCCTCCCAACGTGCTGGGATAGCAGGCGTGAGCCACCGCCTGCAATTTTAAAATTTTTTTATAGAGACAAGGTCTTGCTAGGTTATCCAGGCTGATCTTGAATTCCTGGGCTCAAGAGGTGCTCCTGCCTCAGCCTCCCACAGGGTCAAGATTACAGGCAGGAGCCCCGAAGCCTGGCCATGAAATACAATTCTTAATATCATACGGGAAAAAGTTAGCCAGTCAAGCTAGCCTGTGGCCCAGCCACAACTAGCTGAGAAAGCTCTCTGGGCTTCCCTTTAACACAGTTCTGCTGCCACAGTTCCATCTATAAAATGGGAATGGAAGGAATAGGGGAACTGGGAGAGAGAACACAGCTTTGCCAAGTAGCAATGTTAGCCTGCTCCTTCCTCCCCCTGCCTCTCCACCTTGCCCTTGGAAAATGGCTCCCTGAGGATTAGGCATCCATCTGCAAGGGGAGGGGCAGCCTGGGACAAGACACCCAGAGGGGAAGGATTCCAGGAATGAAGCTGCCATGTCTGGGTGGGAGGAGAAGAGGAAACTTTTCCAAGAAAGGGCTCCATTACGAGCATGGATTCAGGGCCGTGCATTACCCGATCAGAACGGCTGGGATGAGCAGGAGGCCGGCTCCCAGGAGGAAGGGGAACCCCTTCATGAAGTTCAGAGTGACTGGGTAGAGTGAGTTGAAGATGCCGGAGGCCGTCAGCATGGCCAGGCCGTTCACACAGGCCACAGCAGAAAAGAGAGCACCTGTGAAGAAATTCACACCATACTGCGGAGTCGGAAAGAGCCATGTTCAAATTCTGGCACCACCACCCCACAGCTGTGTGACCGGCGGGGCAGTCACTTAACCTAAGTCTCCCCTTCCTCACCGGTAAATCCTGCTACATCATGTACTGTGACAAGAATTCAGTAAGGTCGTACATGGACAGTAGCTGGTGCAGAGAGGCTACTAAATAAACGGCTGCTATAAATCCACGTTAAAAGTACACGTGCTCTGACAGAACCCAGCATATAAAATTAAAAAGGAAAACAAAGGTACGTGTGGTATCTTGTGAAAGCTTGATGAAAATGGCTTTTTTCTGGCTTATCCTGTTTGGAATTATCTCCTGCTTGGAACTAACTGTAGGTTTGATTCCTCGGTTCCAACATTCATAGCTGTGTCACCATTGGGTAGCTTCTTATCCTTTGTGTTCCTCTTTCTCCTCCTGCTAAATAAGGATAATACCTATTTCCTGGATCATCAGCAACATTAAGTTCACATGGAAATCACTCATCACTGGGCCTGGCCCCCTGGAAGTGGCGAGTTAGTAAGGGCGTTCTTTTTTCCCCCTTGACGTCTCTGGGCACAGAGAAAGTGCTGGGAAAAAAGTTTAGGTGAATGAATGAAGGCACATGGATTCTGGGGACACCAGAGCCCACAGTGGGCTCTGTATGGCACCAGGTCTCTGTCATCATCAGAACTTCCCTCCAGGACAGATGGAGAAAGATGAATGTTTCCAGACTGGGGCATAAAGACCCAGAGGCTGGAAAAGCTGTTCTTTATAGATACACTAGGAGAACCCAGTTTACAAAATGTGCAACAACCCAACAGAAGTGGAGATTAAATTCTGTCACATCTAAAGGGGACTGTGATGTCATCAAGAGCAAACCATCCACAGCACAGATGAAGAAACAGGCCTCCGTGACAGGGTTCAGACTAAAACCCAGATCCTGACACCAGCTGCTTTTAAAAACAGACATGGGTTTGCATCCCAGCTCCACCATTTACTGGGTGAGCCAATGTAACCCCCGGGACTGTTTCTTCATCTGTCAACTGTGGAAAATGAAACCCACATCACAAGGCTGTTCATTTCTGGGCTTGTACACGCTGACCCCAGTGAAACAGAGAACTCTAAGCATCATCACACCCATCTTACAGTTGGAAAAGCTGAGGTCTGCAGAGAGTAAATCCTCTGCTCTGGTTATCCACAAAGAACATAACTGTGCTCTGCTGACTGCAAATCCCAACTTTGTGGTTTGAAAATCCAAGGCAGCACAATCCTCTGCCCTTCGTGGGCAATTTGACCGAATTGTGTTTACTTACTTCTCCAGGGTGGGAGGCGGGAAGGCAAGCTGTTCCCCCAGCCATGGCTGCCCATCAGGCAGCACTGGACATGAGGAACCAGACACAGGTGGGTCCTGATACTCACCTTGCTCTGTCTCTCTCACCAGCTTGGAGAGTTTGGCCCGGATGACGGGTGTGGTGACTAACGACAGGAAGAGCAACCCATATCCTGTGGAGAAATAAACACTCATCAGGAAAATGGGGCTGGGAGAGGGGTGTCCAAGGGAGAGGCAGCACAGCTCCTAACCATAACCGAGGTGGGACTTAGGTTAGACCCAGGAAGAACTTCCCTGATGGTGAGGGTGGAGAGACAGTAGCCAAGGAGAAATGGAGACTGGCCTTGTCTAGGCTTGGCCACCTGCTAGCTCTCATGAATGAATGCTGATTTCCACCTATTGCTTTCTTGTCTGAACCTCTCGTGGTCACAGTAGGCATCACCCACCCACCTGGCATTTAGTAGGGATACAGCAGGGCACAGAAAACAAGCATGGACTTTGGAGTCAGCCCTGAGTTCAAAACCTGATGCCATCACTTACTATCTGTGTGGTCTTGAGCACTTAACCTTTCTGAGCCTGACTCCCTGCAAGAGGAAGATAAGACCTTCATCACAGGATGGTTCTGGGGCATAAGAGGCTAGATAATGGTGCCCAGAGGCATCAGGTTCATAGCCCTGGAACCTGTAAATACGGCCTTCTTCTACGCAGGTGTGATGAAGTTAAGCCTTCTGGGAAAGTGGGGTTATCCTGGATTAGCAGGCTGGGCCCTAAATGCCATCACACATATCTTTTTTTTTTTTTTTTTGAGACTCGGAATCTCACTCTGTCTCCCAGGCTGGAGTGCAGTGGCACAATCTTAGCTCACTGCAACCTCTGCCTCCTGGGTTCAAGCAATTCTCCTGCCTCAGCCTCCTAAGTAGTTGGGATTATAGGCATGCACCACCACACCTGGCTAATTTCGTATTGTTAATAGAGATGGGGTTTCACCATGTTGGTCAGGCTGGTCTCGAACTCCTGACCTCGTGATCCTCCACTCTCGGCCTCTCAAAGTGCTGGGATTACAGGCGTGAGCCACCGCGCCCAGCCCGTCACACATATCTTTATAAGAGGAAAGCAGATGGAGATTTGGCACAGACAGAAGGAGAAGGTACAAAGAGGAGGAGAACCAATGTGAGCACAGAGGCAGAGACTAGTGATGACAGCCCCAAGCCAAGGAATGCCAGCAGCCCCTAGAAGCTGGAAGAAGTGAGAAACATGTCCTCTCCTGGCGTCTTGCAAGGGAGCGCTGCCTGCTGACTCCTTCCCTTCAGCCAATGGTACTGACTTTGGACTTCCAGCCTCCAGAATTGTGAGGGAATGTATTTCTGTTGTATTAATTTCCAAAGTTTGTGGTATTTCATTATAGCAATCTCAGTGAACCAATTCATGAGGTAAAGAGGTAACATCTATGAAGAGCACGGCATAGGGACATAGCAAATGTGAGCTCCTTTTCCCTTTGCATTCAGTTACTTACAGGCTTCCTGTCTTCTTCATAATCATTTATCTCCCTGTGTGATTGTTGACTCCTCAGCAAAACTGCAAACTCATACAGGTGGTGGATCCTCCAAAGAGGGTATATGATGAGGCACCTGGGGCCCCTGCCAGTGTCTCACACCCAAATCGTGGGTGTGAGACCTCCCCCACACCCAGAGCAATGACAGCATCTTCATCATCTCTGAATTCCCCAGGGCCATCGCCTGGAGGGAAAGGTACTGGCTCCCTTCTGCTTAATTGTCAGACAAGCAGCTGAGTTAATAAATCTGTGCTTATTGTATTATTGACTATACATAGCACATTTTAGGGCTCTATCAAAATAAATATGTCTCTTTAAAAAAAAAAAAAAGTTAACTAAAGCCGGGCATGGTGGCTGACGCCTTAATCCCAACACTTTGGGAGGGTAAGGCAGGCAGATCCTTGAGCTCAGGAGTTATAGATCAGGCCTGAACAACATGGTGAGGTCCTCATCTCTATCAAAAATACAAAAATTAGCAGCAGGGCATGGTAATGTGCGCTAGTGGTCCCAGCTACTCAGGAGGCCGAGGTGGGAGGATCACTTGGGTCTGGGAAGGTGAGGCTGCAGTGAGCCAAGATCCTGCCACTGCATTCTAGCCTGGGTGACAAAGTGAGACCTTGTCTCTAAATAAATAAATCAAATAAAAATTTTAAAAAGTTAACTTCCTCATCTACTGGCCTGTTGACCCTCTCCCACCAAAAAAAAGGAGAGGAAGTGAAGAGGGAAAGGGGAAGGAGGAAGAAGAGAAGAGGAACTGAAGCAGAAATTTCATATCTCTGGCCCAAGAAGCCTGATTTTTTAAAAAACCAAAAAAGCTGATCAAGGATATTTGAGGTAGGTCCTGTGATTCTTTTTCTTTTTCTTTTTTTATTTCTGGTCCTGTGATTCTTATCAGAGAAGTGAGCACCAAGGCACTAATTGCATGGACTTTGTTTAGGAACATATGAATAGCCTGTGGGAGGCCAAGGGGTAAAGCAATTAGTGTATGAGCCATATTTTGTCTTTTGCTCTATATTACTAATAGTATTAAGGTTTGATAACTGTGGATTAATTACTTTAGCTACTGAAGGTCTGATTTTCCATGTATCAAAGATGACTTTTTTTTTTTTTTGAGATGGAGTTTTACTCTTGTTGCCCAGGCTGGAGTGCAATGGTGTAATCTCAGCTCACTGCCACCTCCACCTCCCAGGTTCAAGTGATTCTCCTGCCTCAGCCTCCCAAGTAGCTGGGATTACAGTCATGCACCACCACTCCTGGCTAATTTTGTAGTAGATGGGGTTTCTCCATATTGGTCAGGCTGGTCTCAAACTCCCAACCTGATCAGCTGGCCTTGGCCTCCCAAAGTGCTGGGATTACAGGCAGGAGCCACTGCGCCAGACCCAAAGATGGCATTTTTTGAGGAATTTCTTAGTTGTCTGTCCTCCAGTGCAGGCTGGGGGCATAACTATGTTTCCAAAAACATAGGAATGAACCACATTTGGGGGCGGTGAGTGGCTGGCTCCAATTCTTACCCAGTGCCTCTGGGACAAGCTGTCCCTGAGCCCACACACTTTACCTGTGAACATGAGAGGCGTGATGGTGGCAAAGGCAAAGACCACCATCCCCAGGATGTTGAAAGCCAGGCCAATCTCGGCCACCCAGGCATCCGCCAGGCAGTGCTGCAGAAGCTTCAGGCCCAGCAGGCTGGTGAGGTAGGGGAGATGCTGAGCTGCAGAACCGTAGCCAATTAGTTTGGAGTCCCAGCAGAGGGGTGTGCTCAGTTCATACAGGGTCAAGATGTCCTGGGCCCCAAAGTGCACAGTGATCACCACGAAGATGGCCAGTGAGTACAGGGCTAAATGCTTCCTGGACTTCTCTGGGGCCGGAGTCACATAGAGCTGGACAATGGATCGGTGGTGACGGAAAGTGAAGAGCCTGGTGGACTTTGGCTCTTTTAAGGTCTCACCAAAGCAGAAAGCTGCATAAAGAGTCATGGCTATCAGCAAGGCCAGAGCCAGCCAGAAGGGATTGGCATAACCCTGGGCCCGGAGCCAGTGGCCCCCGAGGAGGCTTGCCAGCATCCCAGCCACCCCGATGCCGGCTTCCAGCAGGGCCATGCGGAAGGTGCGACTGTGGCTGGAGCTGACATCTGCCACGGACGCAAAGCTCGCAGCCAGGAGGCCACTGAAGTCGCCGAGGAGGGCACAAAGGATGCGACCCAGTACGAAGTAGCCGACATGGAGCTGCAGCTGCACCACAAAGACGGACACTAGGGCCTGGAGCAGTAGGCCCAGCGAGGACAGCACCAGCAGTGGGCGGCGGCCCACACAGTCGCTCCAGGCTCCCAGCAGGGTGGACGAGAAGAGCCCCACCAGGAAGCCGCCCACGTTCATGTAGAGGGTCCAGTGGGAGGTAAGAGTCTCCACTTCCTGTAGGGGCACAATGACCAGGGTGCGTTTCCTTACTCTAGGTTGCCCAACCCCGAAATCCTCTCCATCCTGAGAGCTACAGGGATGAGGACCTTCTTTGGAGCCCTAAACCTTAGAGAATCTTAGCATAACTTTCCAAAATCTGCCCGTTGAAAGGGAATGGACCAAGGCCCCATTCCCTTTCTCCCCCCACTCCCTTTTGTCAACCTGCAAGACCAGATTTTAACTACATCAACTTTTCGCACCCCCGACGCTGAGGTTCTGGATCAGGCCCCTTGGCTCTGGTCCCGCCCACCCTCCAAAATGCACCCTCCCTCCAGTTACCCACAACTGCCATTATGTAGGCCCCGCCCCTCCGCTGCCCCCACGCTCCAACCCAGGGCCCTCCCGCTGTGCCGCTTGTCGCCGCCCCGCTACCTGCATGGTGGGGTCCGAGCTGCGGTTGCTGCAGCCCCCAGTGTGGCGGGTGCCATTGTAGCCGAGGTCGGCGCTGAAGCGGTGCCACAGATACTGCGTGGTGAGCGGGCCCTGCAGGACCAAGGCAAAGTTGGCCAGGAAGACCAGCGGCTCTACTGGACCCCGGCATAGCACGGCAGCGCCTGAGCGGGCGCGGGGCTTGTCCGGGGCGCTCGCGCCCCCCTCCATGTGCATGCGCGGCGGGGCTGGAGACAGGCGGGCGCGGGGGGGCGGGGGGGGCGCGCGACTTGCCGCCGGGGACCAGCGACGCGTAGCGCGGGGCTTGCGCTCTCTGCGCCTGCGCCCGGCGTCCCTCCTTAAATGTCCAGCGGGGAGGGGCCTGGGACCTGAGGCCAGCGCACCCTCGCCGGAGGTGCTCCTGGCTGGGCGTGGGCCGGCCAGGGGCCCCGCAACCCCGGCCCCCAGGGTGACCTCACCTGTAAAGTGTGCCCAGACAGCGCCCTGCAGCCCTCCCTCCCGGCCCAGACACACCACAAATAACAAGAATATCAATAATTAACATGTATTGAGCACTTACTATATGCTGGGCACGGTGTTAAACTCTTTTTGTGCGTTGGTCTCGTGATAACCCTACAGCCTAGCCACTATTAACGATCGGGCAATCTACGCATGAGGAAAGAGGTCATCGGGTCCTCAAGGCAGAGCTGGAAGAGCACGTGACTCCTGATGCCGCTGATGTGCGCTGTCACAGAGAGGCAGCTGGAGAGGATCGGAGTACAGCTGAGCCCAGCTGCCTGGGCTGGAACGCCTAGGCTCTGCCACTACCTTGGGCATGCCACTTACCGCCCTGAGCCTCTGTTTATTCGTCTGTAAAATGGAGTTTCTAACAGAACATGCCTCTAAAAGTTGTGGAAAAACAGTGTCTGGTATATTCAAAGTGCTATTATTGTTATTAACAGGCTGTCATATCGGGGAGGGGTGACTTACACCTGTAACCCCAGGACTTTGAGTCTGAGGCGTGTGGATCGCTTGAGCTTAGGAGTTCCAGACCAACCTGGGCAACATGGTGAATCCCTGTTTCTACAAAAAATACACAAAAATTAGCCAGGCGTGGTAGCGTGTGCCTGTAGTTCCAGCTACTCGGGTGGGTGGATCCATTGACCCCAGAGGCAGAGAGGTTGGTTGCAGTGAGCTGAGCTCATGCCACTGCACTCCAGCCTGGGTGACAGAGTAAGACCCTGTCTCAAAAAATAAAATAACATTAAATTAAATTTAAAAAAAAAAGCTGTCAAAAAAATAAAAATAAAAAAAGGCTGTCACTTGCTCCACTCCTGCCCTAGGATCTTTTCCTAGGAAACTCGTCTTGTTTCTGGGGTGAGGCAGGGCCTGGCTTAGCAGTTCCCTTAGAGGAGAAGGTGGTAGAGGGCCTGACAGGCACTTGGGTGTGACCCTATGCTCCTGGGTGGCTCCCATTATAGGAATTAGGCCAGAAGGCAGTCACTTGCTCGGCTGCTGAGCAGGCCAGACTTTGTCTGGGTCTGTTTTATTGCCTGTAAAAAGGATCTACCTGCCTTACTCCCCCATCTTTCATTTATTTAACTCATTTACTGAGTGCCCCTTATGTGCCAGGCACTGTGCTGGGGTCTCTGGGACCACAACAGTAAAGGAAATAGACAAAGCCCTCACCAGGCCCGCTAGTTTCTAGAATGGAGGGAGAGAGGGAAAACAATCCAAGAATCCTACTAATTGGTGTAAAATTTCAACCATGGAAAATAGTTTCGAACTCCAAGCGTGCTAATTCAGTGCCGGGCATGGGGGTAGAGGGAGCAGAATCAGGAAAGCCCACCTTCCCTGAACACAGAGGAGCTGAGTGGGTTTCTGGAGGCAGGTCTTGACATGCCTGATTCTTGGGAGGATGGATGGCTCCATTTCTGGCCACTGTGACTGTGCCTGGGCTTGTTGGAGCTTGTTAAGTACTCCACCTGCCCTGAGCCAGGAGTCTGAGACTCAGGATACGTAGGTGCTGGCTAGAAACTAGTGGACTGAATGACCTCCCCCTGCAAGCTGCCCCCCACCTGCAGTCCCCTAGAGAGAGGAAATTCCACATTAAACATTCAAACCTCTGGATTGGCTCCGCTCCCCTCCTTACCTCTCCCTCCCATTTACACAAAAGCCTGGCCCAGTTAGGTCAACTGCAATGAGGGTGGTGTAAGGAGGGGAGGGAGGAGAGGGGAGGGAAGGGGAGGTGTAAGTCCTTGTCTAAATTCTTGGAATTATTTCCTGGATAAAGAACTAAGGCTAGGAGAAGACAAGATCCCTCATCAGGGAATGGGACAGGGTGTGGTTCATCCCAGAGCCAGAGCCTCCAGTACCCTTAGGGTAGAAGCCTTTCTAAGTCCTTGAAAACAGCTGCAATCAGATCACTGGCCTGACTGTGCTTTCCATTTTCCTCAGTGAGATCCAAGTCCTTATGAGGGCTCTAAGGCCACCTGCCTCTTCTCTGTCCCTCTCCCCTGTGCTCAAGCCATGCTGGTCTCCTGCCTTAGGGCCTTTATACTTGTTGTTCCTTCTACCTGGAATGTGCCTCTCCTGGATATCCACCTGACCAGCTCCCTCGCTTCCTTCAAGTCTCTGCTAAAGTGTCACCTGACCCTCCTATATAAGCAACTTCCCACCTCCTGACATTCCCTAGTCCTTTACCCTGTTTCATTTTTTTCCATAGTATTTACCACCATCTGAATTATAACTTTCTGGTTTCTCTATTTCCATCTCCCTTTACTAGAGGTCATGATGGCAGGGACTTTGTTTTCATTACCACCATAGCCCCAGCACCTAGAATAGTGCCTGGCATGTGGTAGATGCTCAGAAAACAATGGCTCAATGAACTCTCAGTCTCAAGGAGAGGAGATTGCGCAGCTGAAGCCCCAGAGCATGTGGAGAGGGTTGCCCACGTTGAGCTGCACTGTGGAGTCCAGCGCCCAAGAATCTACACCTAGAAGGAAGCTGAGAAATCACATCTCCACCTATCCAACCATTTGAATGACAGAGAAACTGACGTCCAGAGGGAAAGATGACTTACCCAGAGAAAGCTAAAAGGTCCTGCCTGTCAAATTTCTAGAGGAAAGAAGAAGCAATCACAAAGGAAAAGATCTGCAGACTTATTTCCATAATAAATCCTTCATTCAAAGGCAAATGATGAATGCAGTAGGACAAAATCTTCCTTTTAAAATATGACAAAGGCTACTATTGTAACTATATTTGATAATAACCTGAAGATCCCTCCCTCAGTAAACAGTTAGATAAAAACCAAGCACTGAGGGGTTGTAACGCAGAACATGCATGCGAGACACACAAGCAAACACTTCTCCAGCTTCCGAATAGCGAGAGAAACACTGTGCCTTTCAGCTTGTTCTTTGCAGCCTGTACATTAGCAATGATTTTCTTTAAAATGAGAATGCTCAAAGCTGGTAAGGCTACAGTGAAACAAACCCTGCTGAAGACGTGTAAATACACCCTTTCAGGAAACAAATTTGGTAGCCTGTAATCAAGGCCCGTAAAGTCTCTAATTCCACATTTAGGTCTCCATCCAAAGGAAATACTCTCAAGGACAGAAAAAACGCCTTATGTGCTAGCATACTCTCCATGACATTATTGATAAGAGTTAAAAAAAATAAACAACCTACATGTCCAACAGTGGCGAAATCGCTGAGCAAATTATAGTCTATCCACTCCATGAATATGCGTCATTAAAATGATATGTTCGGCCGGGCGCGGTGGCTGAAGCCTGTAATCCCAGCACTTTGGGAGGCCGAGGCGGGTGGATCACGAGGTCAAGAGATTGAGACCATCCTGGTCAACATGGTGAAACCCCGTCTCTACTAAAAAAATACAAAAAATTAGCTGGGCATGGTGGCAAGTGCCTGTAATCCCAGCTACTCAGGAGGCTGAGGCACGAGAATTGCCTGAACCCAGGAGGCGGAGGTGGCGGTGAGCCGAGATCGCGCCATTGCACTCCAGCCTGGGTAACAAGAGTGAAACTCTTTTTCAAAAAAAAAAAAAAAAAAAAAAAAAAAAAAAATGATATGTTCAAAGAGAGTGTAATAATATAGAAAACTGCTTACATAGTAATTTGTATGTAGAAAAAGCAGAGCACTTGGTCATAGGCATAGAAAAGAATTGCACTGGAAACCACGGCACCAATATCTTAACAGAAGTCCTCTTTGCATGGTAGGGTTAGGTAAGATTTTCTTCTGTTTCAAATGTTTTCAGCCTTTCTGATATAAACAGATATAAACATATGTTTTAATCATGGAAAATGTAAAAATTTTAAAAATCTGATGATACTCCTTTCCTTCAAATGTATTCTGGCTCTGCTAATACAGAGAAAAACAGGCAAATAAAACCAAAAAAAGGCAAAAAGAAAAAAAAGAACAAATGTATTCTGGCTCAATTGCCAAATACCAGCTTCATGCTCCTTGGTTTTCTGGACACGTCACTAGGAGCTGACTTTTATTGAACCAGGGAGCACCGCACTAAGGGCATTACATACATCATCTTACTGAATCCTGACTACAACCTTGTGAGATAGGAATTACTATGTTTTTCTTAAGATGGAGTTTCACTCTTGTTGCCCAGGCTGGAGTGCAATGGTGTGATCTCGGCTCACTACAACCTCTGCCTTCTGGGTTCAAGCGATTCTCCTGCCTCAGCCTCCCAAAGTGCTGAGATTACAGGCCTGAGCTACTGCACCCAGCCAGGTATTACTATTTTTACAGATGATGTAACTACAGCTTACAGGAATGAAGCGAAATGGTTTTTCTCACTCTGGGTACAGGTTTTCTCTCCTCCTTACACCTGTTCTAGTGCTTTCTGTTATCCTAAGCCTTAGTATATGTTAGTCTCTTTGCCAGGAATACCCTTTCCACTTCGCGTGGCCTATTCGATTCCTTTTCATCCTTCAAAACCCACCTCTGTGTCTCACTTCTAGGCAGAATTATTAGTCGTTGGTTAATATGTACTCCCACAATACGGTTCATACATTTAACCCTGGTTTTAAATTTAACCTGGTTATAAATATGGGTTCCCGGGTTTGTCTCCTTTTAACCCCTACCCATGTCCTGCCTCCAGACTTGGGGGCAGAGAAATTGTTTTTTCACCTCAGTATTCCCTGTTCCTGGGTGTCACAGGCAATAGAATGAAATGTGAAATAGTTTTGATGAAATCCATCAACTCCAGTCAATTGATTGCATCTGTCTGGATTGCTGCATTGAGATGGGCTGTTGTCCTGGTGGGAAGGAATCCTGTGATCCATTCTTTTTTTTTTTTTTTTGAGACGGAGTTTCGCTCTTGTTCCGC